TAATCTTAATATAATAAATAATAAATATAATAAATCGATATTGTGTATATTAAAATATAATACGTTATTACTTTATTAGTAGATCATATTATGATCAGGGTACAGGTTAGTTATTGGTTAGTGATTGATAAATGTTGTGTGTTGGTATTATTTGGTAATATTGGTATAGCACAAATTGGCTTTAAAAGCATGATAAAAATTTCGATAATTTTAATTAATTTTAAATTTATGTTTATGATTAACACAAATTTAAAAATTTAATTTCTAATTTAAAATTAAGAAAAAAAAATATAAATTCGAGTTGGCGGCTCCTGCTTGATTGATAGCGTATTATTAACCAAATAAAAGGTATTAAACTTTATAACCGTGATCATGACCGGTTATGTGATAAACTGATAATTGTTKTGTGGAACTATGATAAGGAAATAGCTCCGAGATGGGCGAGARTGCGAGATTGACGTGAGTTCGAGGTTCGAGCCCCGTGGACGGTGCTTTCTACCGTAAACATTAAATTTCCTACAGTGTTTTAAACAATAAATACTGGACGACATAAAAACGGTATAATGTTTAAATTATTAAAATTAAATTCTGTTCGTAGTTGCGTACAAATACCAAATAATTCATATGCATCACCTAGTGGTAAGTTATATAAACATATTATTTAAATTATACAGTATACTTCGTTCCAAAAAAGAATACCTACCTAGTTTCTATACATCACTTCAGTTACTCAATGTTAAATCATTTTCTGATACCCAAACGATATAGACAGTTGCAWTATTTTAGTGTGGAGTATCGCTGCCTTTTAAAGTAAGACGAAATAAATAAGCTTTATCATAATATGATTTTTTTTAATTTTTACATCCCCCCACACCCATGAAATTATTGAAAATATGACACTGAATACATTTAATTAAAATTTAATATTTAATCTTATGTTTCAGGAATTATTTCATTGGGAAAGTCTAAAAAAAAACTGGGCAAAGGAGGTCCAGTTTTAGAAAAATCTGAAATGCCTGTTGAAACTGATGCCAAGAAATTAGTTAATTTTGTATGCGGCAGTAATATATTAAAAGAAGGGCAAGATATAGAATTAAAACCTGATTCAGAATATCCAGATTGGCTTTGGAATTTGAATATAGGTAATATGATTCATAAAAGTAATGGTAAATTTAAACACTAATTTGTATCATTCAGTTATTTGTTGTCAACTATGTGAAAAAGCTAAAAAAAATATTGTGATATAATTGTATGAAGTGGTAAAGTAAATATTTTACTTTTATCTATCACAAGTATTTTACAATTGTACTGTTGAAATACTTTTAAGTGAATGAAAACTAAACATCATTCCAAATCTGATTATATACAATTTTTTATTGGTAGTTTGTAACTTATACATTATACATGTATGGCATGTATAATATATTTGCTACATTTTCATGATTTTCATAAACTTTATTCTTTTAACTTCAAAATGGTGTTTGTTTTAGCAAACATATCTATAATAATCTAACTTTTTGTTTAAAAAATACGCTCATAATAAACTTTACTCTATACTCTATTCACTAATCTAGGTGAATATGAATAATAATAATAAAAATTGTTATAGTAAAAAATGAATATTTTTTATTTCTGGGGTTTCATGTTACCTCCGTAAACATGGTAAATATTAAATACATGAACAAATTATGTTAAATAAATAGTTAGAACCTATATAAGATAATTTTTATAACAGTTATTTACAATAATCATAATAAGTTGGTCCAAATATATTTTGGCTATAACTAGTATAACTGTACAAATTATTCTATTTTATGTTAGCAAGATAGTTGAAAATAATACTTGCATTAAATTTGATTTTAGACGGACCAGTACCATTAAAAGAATTGGATCCTAATTCAAAACAATATTGGCTCAGAGTACGAAAATTATCAATGAGAAGAAATAACTTGTTAAATAAATTAAAAAGGTTTTAGGTATATATTATAATATGATAGAAATAGGTATTATATATAAATAGTGATTCATTGGCCATTGTTTATTTTTAAATTCAAAATTAATATTTTATTGTTTAATAAAAATAAATTTGAATTTATGATTTGTGATCATTGATATAAAAACTATTACATATCTTTTGTCTTTAGATAATATTATTTATATGACATATATTGGCATCAGTTTCTTATACATTTTTGAAATGTTTAAAACATTGTAAATGTCTTAGGGGAATTTTAATTGTGTAAATTATGGACTGTTAAAAACATTTGTGAATTTACTTTTATTTATACGTAAATTATAGCTTTTAGAAGTTATTGGGTGTACAACTTTTTTCTAAACATTAAGTTAATATCACTAACTTCATAATTTTTGAAAAAAATAAGTAAGAAACTATAATGCCATTGCTATGGAAATCTGTGTCAAACAAAAAGTTGTTAGTCACCATCAATACTATTAAAAATAATAACCATAAATCATAATATTTACTTTTAAATTAACAAAAGAAAATTTTCCAATCTTATAAAGTGCTCAAAAACAGCAACGGATATAATATTATATATAATTTATAGCTAAGTTGGAATTAA